CACAAACTGTGAAAGAGTGTGGGACTCCTCCTCACCCAGGAGATGGACTTAAAAGACTTGAGAATTACTTCAATAAAACCTTATGATCAGTGCTTGAAATACAAAAGAAGCCATTTGAGCACATGTGAGGGAACCTTGTACACAAATCTGGAGATCTTTGTTATAATATGAAAGTCATAAATAATATGAACATTGTATTTTACAATTTATTCATTTATTTATTTGGCTTTGTATCCCACCCTTTCCGTGAATGGGCTCAGGGCGGGTAACAACAATATAAAATACAACATATTTAAAACCAAGTTAAAACAACAGTATACAATGCCATAATCCTAGGTACCATGTCAGTTCAGATAGAAGCAGGGCTATTTTTGGGCAGGAACACACAGGAACAACGTTCCGGCTGGCTTCAGAGTTGGCCACGCCCACTGCAGCCAAAACCTCTGCGTGTGTGGCTACAGAGGAAAGGCCTGGAGAGTGACCCCCCAGGTGGGGGGGCCCTGGAAGGATCGGGGAGGCATTTAAATGCCTCCCCATGACTTCCCAGCCTGTCCCAAGGGCTGGCTTGCCTGGGCTCCCCAGAGTCATTGGGTGCCCAGGGCAAGCCAAGGGAAGGCATGGGGGTGTGACCTAATATGCTAATGAGCTGTACTGTCAGGGGTGTGGCCTAATATGCTAATGGGTTTCTGCTGTTGGGTGTGGTCTATTATGCTAATGAGTTCCTGCTGGGCTTTTTCTACAAAAAAGCCCTGGATGGAAGCATATCCAGCACTGATGAAATATTTAAGATGTTAAGGTCCAGGCCACTAGTGGAGTTGACCACAAAAAGGGGCACCCGCTGCCTCAACCAAAAGCCTGGCGGAAGAGCTCTATCTTACAGGCCCTGTGGAATTGTAGTAAATCCCGCAGGGCCCTGATCTCACTTGGGAGCTCATTCTACCAGGTAGGGGCCATGGCCGAAAAGGCCCTGGCCCTGGTTGAGGCAAGTCAGATGACCTTGGGGCCGGGGACTACCAAAAGATGTTGATTAGTTGGCCTTAGTGCTCTACGGGGCTCATATGGGGAGAGGTGGTCTTGAAGGTATGCTGGCCCCTGGCTGTATAGGGCTTTAAAGGTAAGTACCAACACCTTGAAATGGATCTGGAATTTGATAGACAGCCAGTGCAGTTCACACAGCTCTGTGGGGATGTGAGCCTGCACAGGCATCGCCATCAACACTCGCACTGCCGTGTTCTGGACTAGCTGCAACTTCCAGAGCAGAGTCAAGGGCAGCCCCACATAGAGAGAGTTACAATAATCCAGTCTGGAAGTGACCATTGCATGGATCACTGTCACTAGCTCCTGGGGAGTGAGATATGCGGCCAACTGCCTGATCTGCCTCAGATGGAAAAAAGAAGACCTGCCAGTGGTGGTGACCTGCGCCTCCATAGAAAGGGAGGAATCCAGGAGCACCCCCAGGCTCTTCACCCTCAATGTCGGGACCAATGGGGTCCTGTCAAAGGCTGGGAGCCTGATTCTGTGTCCCAATCCCCTACAAATCCAGGTACAGGACCTCCGTTTTAGCTGGATTAACCTTAAATCAGCTCTGTTGCAACCATCCAACCTAGGCCTGTAATGCCTCATCCAGAATTCCAGGGGGCATATCCAGGCAGCCATCCATCAGTAGATAGAACTGGGTGTCATCTGCATATTGGTGACAACCCAGCCCATACCTCCGGATAATCTGGGTGAGGGGGCGTATATAGATATTAAATAACAAAGGGGAGAAGAGTGCTCTCTGCGGCACACCACATTCCAGTGAGTGTCACTGGAATAGCTCTCCCCGCAGCACCACCCTCTGCCCCCAACCTTGAAGGAAGGAGGTCAGCCACTGCAAGGCAAGCTCCCGTATCCCAGTGTCGGTGAGGCAGTGGGCTAACTCGTCATGGTCAACCATATTGAACACTGCTGACATATCAAGAAGTATCAGCAGCGCTGAACTGCCTCAATCCAGATGTCTCCGGAGATCATCCACCACAGTGCCCAGCACCGTCTCCATTCCATGGGTGGGGCGAAAGCTGGACTGGAAGGGATCCAGGATCTTAGCATCCTCCAAGAAAGCTTGAAGCTGTGTTGCCACTGCCCTCTCTAGTATCTTACCCAGGAACGGCAAATTAGACACTAGGCGGTAATTATTAAGGACCATAGGGTCCAATGAAGGTCTTTTAAGGAGAGGGTGAACTACTGCCTCCTTCAATTCCCCAGGGAAAGTCCCCGTTGAAAGAATAAAAGTTTCTGAAATCAGCATCTACCATCTTTTGACGTCTGGTAAAAATTTGCACTATATTGTGAAATCCAATTCAGAAACTAGACATATTATAAACAACAAGAAAACTAACCAGTTTTTCAATGTAATATGTTCTATTTAACTTTTGTCTTCTTAACTTATCAAGCATAAAATATCCAGCTTGGAAGCACAGATACAACTCACAACAGCTTTAAGACATATGGACAAAATACTTGAAACTTACTCAAAAATATAAAAAAGACTTTGTGGAATGTTTATATAGCAGAAATAACATTCCAGAAGGACTAAAAGTATGAGCTACTTGGACATTGTCCAACCACAACAACTGCCTGGACTTTAAATGGTGAAACAAAACAAAAGGAAGCTATATTGGATTAGTTTCCCATTAAATTGTTTGAGTTTCTTTTTAAAAATCGTATTCCTAAATCAAGAATTAATGTTTGTTGTTTAAAAGTTTGACAGAACCTTATAGATTCCCAACAACAGTTATGCAGCTTAGTGATTTCCAACTGATTAAAGAGAACAGTTAGAAAAAGGCTTCATTTGTCATGACTATCCTGATATCCCCACCACAACCTACACCTTATGGCTCAATACAGCCAAGCATATCATCAGCACTGAAAAGGAAAAACCCCATTCACAGGAGCCAATTGGTTAGCTATGTTATTTTTGTTAATGATCTATTAACATTTATGGAGGTTTGTGACAATTTATTTTTAATATCCCCCCCCCCCCAAGAATCAGGACAATTTTTAACCAACTTACCCAAGTCCTTTATTTATTTATTTTAAAAAGGCAGGGTTCACTAAATTTTTCATTAAATGTGTTGATTGGCCTTGAAATTGTAGGGAGGACAGCTGTAATAAGGTCACAGTCTCTTCATGTTCCTATACTGTACTTACCCTGTTTAATAAATCAATTTCTTCCTTCAATTTACCAATCAACTCTTCTTTGTCTTGTGCTATTCTTACAAGCCTTAGGTTTTCTTGCCTCTCCTTTGCTAGTTCCTGAAAAAAACACCAAGTGAAAATATATTAAAAAGTAGAACTATAATGTAACCCTAAAAACGTTTTCCTCAAAAAAGTTTGCCCCACTGTACCCAATCCCACATAGGGATGCATTGGATGGCCCAACTGCCCACACACAACCAAGTATTTTCTTCCGTTATCCAGGCAAAACAGAATTTGCAACAGAGCAAATCAGTTCCCATAAAGTCAATGTAGATCTATTTATTTAAATCCTGCAACATTACTGTCCTGGGAGGGGGAAAAAGTTAATGTCATGTGTGTCACTACATCACTTCTGGGGGGAAACCCAGAAACGATGTAGAATAGCTCTAGGAATCGCTGGAAACTCTGTGGGTTTCCTCTGTGGTTTCCCACAAAGTTTCTGGCACTTCCTAGAGCTATTCTATATAACTTCTGGGTTTGCCCTGGAAGTGATGTAGCAGCACACACAATGTTACAGTTCCCCCTCGTTTCTGCCACCAGTTGCCAGGCATGGCGTGGAAATCTAAACATTAAAGATTATTTTTGGATCGTCTTCCCTCTCAGAGCTGCTTCTAAGCATCCACTGTGATAATTGTACAGATTCCTACAGTATAGCTTTCAGATTACACAGTGTAGTCAGTGACTTGGGGTAACACATTGTTGTGGGTCAGTCCAAACAACTGGTATTTTAGAAAAAGGTGCAGAGATGACCTGGATTTTTAAAATTCCTGCAACATTTAAAAAGCCTCTAAACAAGGACATTTATTTCTTCTCAAATCAAATAGTATAAGTTTATTGTTTTAGCCATAGGCCATAACATAAATACATCAGGTCGTAAAATGGTAATGTAGACAATAGAAAAATATCAGTATACTCCTAAACTACTTTTACTTTGTGTTAAATACTAAACTCATTCTGATTTTCCTTGTTGCTAAGGCAAATAACACCATTCTGCTAGGGACATAGTGGTCAAGGTCTGAGAGTAAAATTTGACCAGATCCAGATCAGAGAGTCCATTACGCTGCGGAATAATAGGGATTATGTACTTTAGCCTAAGGGCTTCATGCCATGGGCATCTCAGAATATAATGTACAATATCATCAACTTCCCCCATATCACAAAGACAAAGTCTAAGGGGGGCAGGGATACCAAAGAAATGTCCAGTCCTGATCACTGAGGGCATGGATTGAAATCTTAAACCTGTAAAAGCCGATCTTAATTCCAGGCTGGTTAACTTCTCTAAATACAGGGACCTACAGTGATCCCTTTTAAAAAACTTGAATAATGGTGCCGTAAGACAACTGCCATCATATCCTGATCCATAAGCCCATCCTTTTTGAACACCCATTCCTTCAGTTCCTGAAGCACATTTAATTGCCAGTATTGTCCAAGTAAAAGAAGATACCAGCCAAAAAGAAGAAGAAGAGGAGGAGGAGGAGGAGGAGATTGGATTTATACCCCGCCCTTCACTATCCAAGGGAGTCTCAGAGCAGCAAACAAACTCCTTTGCCTTCCCCTCCCCACAACAGACATCCTGTGAGGAAGGTGGGGCTGAGAGAACTCTGACCAGAAACTGCTCTTTTTCAAGAACAGCTGTGCCAGAACTATGGCTTGCCCAAGGTCATCCAGCAGGTGCAAAACCAAAATACAATATATAAATGGAACAAGCCATGAATTTCATGACGCTCTAGCCCAGGATTTGGAAATCACTAGGATATCTCTTAAAAAAGAGATATTTGGTTACCCTTAGAAAGCCTTTGTTTTACAAGCACACTATAAATCAGTTTTAAAACCTGACAGTTATATTGTGATATTTACCTTTTCAAGATCTTCAATTTTCTTTTCCAAAGAATTGTTTGGTATGATATTCCCAGAAGAATTTGCTTCTCTGCTATATCTGTTATATCCAGTCCTGTCTGCTGCTCGTGAATATCTACTAGAAACATCATCATCTGGTGTGTTTGTTGGGCTGTGTAAAATACAACTTATTTATTTCATATGTAAAACAAATTCAAACACATTTTCAAAACCATAATTGTTCACATCTTTTATTATTATTTAAGTAGTAGCCAGTATTTACATCAAACTGTTTATATAAATGCTGATATAGTCATATAGTGAGGTTGATGTGCTGTAAAATTTAAAAGCCACTTCTTATTCCACTAAATTTATAAACTTAATTTCTGAAGACATACTAAAAAGGCAGGGCTGCAGTTCAGAGATTTAAAATTTCCATAAATTTTGAAGCCACGGGGAAGAAAAATACCCCCCCTTTTTCAAAAGAACAGAAATTTGAGGAAACGTTTAAATATATGCAATAATTGCTTTGCTATCAAACATAAACTTATTTTATTAATTTACAATAAATGCATTATTTACAACTCGGCATATAATACTGTATTATTTGGTATATTTATGGAAATTAATTTTTTTTGTTTCTACATGAAAAATACCTAATATATGAAAAAGTGTTGCAAACTGCTGTGCCCTATGCTTCCATATTACACGTATCTTTAATTTTTTTGCCATCTGAGAGACAGGAAAAAAGGTAGAAAACAAATTATGTAGTAAACAAAAGAAAATGTATTATTTGGTCAGAAACTCTATTACAGAGTCACAATAGATAGGACTACCAGCATGTTTGGCTATTAAGCTAAAGTTTATAATGCTGAAAACACTGACTTCTTTAATAATGTATTATCACTGAAAACAGCATATTAATTCAATAAAAAGGCCATATTATGTTGTCAAACGCCTTTTCTGCATTAAAAAAATAAAAACGCTGCTTTCTTTTTTTCTTCTTCACAAATTCAATTGCATCAATTTTGAATCATATATTATCTTTGATGCACCTCTTTGGTACAAAGCCTGTTTGATTAGTGTGTATTAAAGTTGGTATGCATTTTCTTAATCTTTCTGCCATTTATTGTAGCAAAAATCTAGTAATCTAAATTCAGTAGAGAGATAGGTCTATATGACTGTGGTAACATTGCATCACTGCCTTCTTTACATATTAGTGTTATATATGCTTCTTGTCATGTTGGGGGTATTGTTTTTCCTTCTTTTATTTCATTCATAAATTTTTGTAATGTTATCATTAAATCTTCATAATGTATATAATACATTGCTGTTAGGCCATCAGGGACTGGTGCTTTATCCTTTTTTATATTTTTTATTGTCTGGGAAAACTCTTGTATTGTTATTGTTTGATTTAGGAACAAATCAAGAAATAAGTAGAGAAAATCCAAAGATTTGAGCAAGAGCATTAAGAAATCCAAATAATGATATATTAGCAAAAATCAGACAATTAAAAAATCAATTAGATATGTTAGAAAGGGAAGAGGTACAGAAAAAAAACTTAAAATCTTTTAAAAAGGCAAATTTGAACATGCAAATAGAGCTGGCAGATATTTGGAGTATTATCTTAGGAAGAAGAAAGAAAAAGAGTAATAACATGCATAAAGAAAGGAGATCAAATTACTTATGCAGAAAAAGAAATACATAAACAATTTATTAATGTTCTTTCAGGATTGTATAAAAAGAAGTCTCCTCAGTAAATAAAACCAGAGAATATTTAAAAGATATTCTGACCATAAAGTTCACACTAAAACAGAGCATATTAATTGTTGCCATATTATTTACGTTTAAACAAAACAAATTACTGAAAATGTTGTATATGTCTATAAGAGTTTAAATGCTCCTTGGACTTTTTCGTATTATACATTTTAAGTGTAAAAAACCTTGTTTTCAGAAGCATTTTACTTATTCTAAAAGAGAAATAAATGAGTTTTGTTTCTAACAGTCCCCCCTAATCGCCAATTTTTCCATTGAGAAACCTGGGGGAGGGAAGCCTCAGGAACAAATGGTGGAAAAGGTCCCCCCCTGAATTTTGCGGCCCACCCTTCCAGGCCTTCACATCTCACAATACCTGACAATGGCAATTCTTTCCTTCCTTCAAAGACAGGGATTCAGACACAGAAAAATAGCACAATACCTACAATTGGGTCTATTCTTGTTTTCTAAAATAAGCATTTTCTACTGTTATAGAGATGTTCTTCCCTTCCTCAAAAATGGCCTCTATGAGGGCCAACTACTTGTCACATAACACTACACAGACTACTTGCAATAACTGCCTTGATGCAGTGGCTGCACTATGCAGCAATATCATAAGTGTATATCAGCATTGTGCACATACATACCTGCCCGCGTGGTTTTACCCACAAACTGGGCACAACAGCAATAAACTCTAGGCCAGGGGTGTCAAACATGCAGGCTGCATCTGGCCCGCATAGGGCTCACATCTGGCCCCCAAGCAACTTCCTTCCCCTGCTTCCTTTCCAGGGCTGCATCTGCAGCCACACCATAGCTTGCTTTCTTCTGACAAACACAATTTACATTGACGAAATTATTTTGGCTTATTCTGAAGAGTACTGTTTTTTTTAAATACAATTGGATTTCTCTGTTCCTATTTGGATTTATTTAGTTTCAAAAAGACCCTGATTAGGAATTATAACATTTGGATTAGTCCTTATATCTTAGAGAGTGGAATGATTTCAGATGCCAAATGATAATAGTACACATTGGTAATGAGACAGGAAAAGTAGCTCTCAATTCAGTCCAGGAGGATGCATTGTCTTGAGCTTCATTTTAAATTGCAATTCAGCAGTCTCTTTCTAATCTCCCTTTGAAATTCCTTTGTAAGAGCATCGCTGCTCTTAGGTCAGCAACTGAATGTTCTGGTTTCTAACGTCAGACTTCTGTCCAGTTATTCTTTGCATCCTCCTGGACTGAATCCTCTGGATAGAACTGAGACCTAGGTTTCCCGTCTCATTACCAACGTTGGTATCTCTATGTCTACTACCCCTCTGCGTATCACTCCTAATCCAATCAAACCTGCTATTGTCATTCACCTGCTATTGCCATTGGACATCTGAAATCACCTTTATAAAGTTTATATCTCCAGTACCTCGTGTTACATTTTATGGCATGCATGGCCTGGCTCAACAAAGTGACACTTATGTCAGATCTGGTCCTTGTACCAAATGAGTTTGACACCTCTGCTGTAGGCAAATTTGTTGGTACAACATACCCTCTCCGCTGGCTGGTAGCATACTGCCCCAAAATGGAAACAGATGAAGCATAGAAAGCTATATTTCTGTCAATGTCAGTCAAGCAACTGAGTGTGAAATGACACAATACACATTTCAAGCCCACAGCCTAGGCAGTTTCATTAGTTTCAGCATCTAGAAGCTACAAACTCTCTCACACAAGGGCTTGTACTGAACAAGTGTTTCTGCTTTTGGCTTTGCTTCAAATGAAACTATTTTACTCAGGATTACTGACCTGCTGAGAGCACAGATTTGTGAACAAAACAAACCTCTGCTGTTATCAAACCAATAAAAAGTAAAGAATGAAAAAAGTAGTACAAGCCAAGAGAATGCTAACTAGACTACTATACAGTCTACAAGATCACAGGCATTGAACTTTGGAAGAAAAGTATGCATTCAAAATCTGTGAAATATTAATGTATTTACATTTGTAGCACATGCCATCTCCAAGGCTCAAGATGGGTAATAAAAATGACACGAAGCACATATTTTTGTAATTAAAATTTGAGGTACTTTATTTATATTAGCCCTTTATTTATATCAGCCATGGTGCCCACGATAGCTTTCCTGGTGTCCACCAAGTGTTTTTAGAAAGTGGATGGGGGCAGGTGGGGCTTTTGCCCAGCAAGGTTTCTGAGAGTCTAGTGGTTAAGTGCACAGACTCTAATCTGGGAGAACCGGGTTTGATTCCCCACTCCTCCACTTGCACCTGGCTGGATGACCTTGGGCAAGCCGTAGTTCTGATAAGAGCTGTTCTTGAAAAAGAGCAGTTTCTGTCAAGAGCTCTCTTAGCCCCACCCACCTCACGGAGTGTCTGTTGTGGGGAGGGGAAAGGAAAGGAATTTGTAAGCGGCTCTGAGACACCTTTGGGTAGTGAAGGGCGGGGTATAAATCCAATCTCTTCTTCTTCTTCTGATTGGCTGTGCAGATTTTTAAAAATGCTGCTTTGGTAGCAGCTGCCACCACAGGACAAGGATTTTCACTATGTGACTGAAAATAAGGCACGGTGGCCATTTCATGCCTGGCTCCAGCTCCTATGGCAGCCATTTTGTGGCTGTGCCCACCACACTGTATCAGAATTCCAAAGGTGTCCACGGATTCAAAAAGGTCAGGGACCTCTGATGTAAGCCATAGCAGCACACAGAGGATTCCCAGGCAGTCTCCCCCCGGGGCCCGATTCTGCGGTGGCGGAAATCGGGCCTCCGAAGCGGGGGTTTACCCGCCCCCCGCCCCCATTTGGCAGCCCTAGTGTGAAATTATGGCATTCCCTCCCCCAGGGAGATCCGTGTGCTCTCTCCTAGTATTGTCTGTCACCAGCAGGTGAAGATCATTTTATCTGCCATTCCTTCACTGACCCACTTTGCTGTGTATGTATTTCAACTGTGCATGTGCTTTGGCTAATTGTTGTTATTTAAAAAAATATATACTATGTATCTTTTAAAGCCTGTTTTAATGTTTCTGATTTAGGGTTTTTTGGGACCCTAAACTGGGTGGAAAGATGGCATAAAATGGTTTAAATAAATAAACTGTAGTTGAGCTTTTAGTGCCAGTTATTGCTTCCTGTCTCCAATTTACATGTTATATAATTTATATATTTCACTAATACACAATTATACTACATGATATTTGCTCTGTCATAAACAAGGCTTTAAATAAAATTACCTTCAAGTTTTTGCATAAGTACATTCCAAAACTGCAAATACTGTTATATGGAAACTGTTTCCCAATGCCATCATACAGTTCATTTTACAAAAAGAATTTTCCTGAAACAAAGTATATTACAAGCCCCATTCCACCATAATTATTCAGACTAAACTCTAAGTCTTGAATACCAAGTGTAAATGGTGAAATATCAGATGAA